AAAAAAAGTAAACTAAGTCCCCACTGCGTTCCATTCCATGCAAATGTTATGCAAGTATTCAGAGAAACTTCAGTGCAAATGTAGGAAAGCAACGGAAGCGGAAGGAAGGCAGATAATAGTGAGAAACCGTTGGGACTTTCAAAATTCAACGACTTTATTTATCATTATTACGCTTAACCTTATTATGTAACACTTTATATAATTGTATGTAGAGTATATATGAGGCGTCGCGATCGTCAGAAGGGCTTCAGGCGGATTTGCCGATCAACTGTATACTTTCTATATATATATATTTTTTTTAGCCTTGATGAGTCAACTACAAAAATACATCGACCTAAAGCCCTTCTGCTCACGCTTCGCTAAATGTTTTATTTAAATTTACACGTTATAATATACATTTAGAAAAATGCTTCGCATTTGATTTTTTCTCTCCTAATATTTTAATTATTAATTCTTTCATTGTCTTCCCCAAAATTTCCAAATCCAAGCAGAACAAATTTATCACATAAATCAGGTACACTTATGTAACAATAACAACATCAAACTATTTGAGAAAAAAAAACAATGATTAATTCGAGGTGACAATAAATTGTTTTATTTTTAAATAAATTTTAATTTATTGGCACCCGGTATATTTGTATCATTAATAAAATTTAATAATTATGTTCATTAAGGTTTTCTTAAGCAAATAAAATAAAAGTATATAAATGTAATGGAAAAGAAAACTGGCCAAAACGATTTCCTTGCGTGCGCCCTAACATTACAAGTTTTCTTCTTCGTTATATATTTTTTTGTTTTTCTTTTCATTTTCTCCGTTTTTCATTTGTTCCATTCTATGTAACTTCGATTGCTTTGTTCTTGAAGCTTTCCAATTGGGAGCAACTGTTGCTTTTCTCCTCGCGATCCCAGGGGATGAATCCGTTCTCGGGAACTTTCCCGTTCGGACTTCGATCCGCGACGATGTGAGGCATCGTGCTGGACTTTGTGAGTCCTTGACGATGGCGGAAGCGATCCTTCCTCGCCACGGACAATCGGCTGGATCTCCTCGAATTCGGACAGATGTGCTTCGGTTGAAGACTGTGAACCTCGACATAGGAGATGACTGATTCTGAATTCTCCTCGTGCTTGTAAGGTCGCATCTTCGCGAAGATTTCAGGTTCGTCCTTTAGATTATCTAGAGCCTCCTGTAGCTCAGCGTCGAGGATCGTCACTTGTTTCGGTTTTCTCGGATACTGCGATCGTTTCCGTCTGAACGACACCACCAAAGGTCTCTTCGAGTCGTGCAGTTTGGCCATTTCGGCTTCTAGGTAACGCAGGGAGCTTTGTCTGCTGCAGGAGTCGGTGTTGCTGTGGCTGTTCAACTGCGACGACCTCCCCGACAGTGTGGAATAGCAACGGCTCCCCTTTGGGTGCCGGCTACGACCAAAAAATCCTTTGAAAGTGTCCTACATCAAACAGAAAACCAAGAGTTAATCAACTTTTTACACCCACAACGTCTATCAAAGTTTTGTTTTTTTTCAGTGAGCAGAGAAACTCTTTCAAAACTAAATAAAATGCGAATAAAATAAATACATAATGCAATGCAATATTACATTTAATATTTATAACATTTATAAATCACGTAATTACATTCAAATTTGATATTTTTAAATGTTACCGCATTTTCTAAGGACGCTTTGCAATAATTGTGAATATTATGGCAGTTACTAAGGACATTTGCTAACGCCGTTACCTAAGTAATTAAGGACGTTTGCGGTTGCTATAATTAATGTGACAGTCGTCAAGGATGTTTCTCATTTGCTACAATTGATGAACATTTGAATGATTTAATACAGTTTCTAAATATTTATTTTTTAAATTGCTGTAATTAAAAACTACATTTTTTTATTGAATATTTTTTGTCAATTTAATTTGTCTTTTCGTTAATTAATGTTATTGTAGCGCTAATAACGAAGATCGATGATATTCATTAGTGTACATATTTTTTTTTTCAGCATCACTGAAATGTAATCACATCGCTGCCGGCGTGCCGTGAACCATTTTGGAGGGGAAAACGGAAATCCGATTCGAAGTGGAAAAAAACAACAACAAAAAAAATATAGAAGAGTAGTTGGAGGTGGAAAAGCGAAACGCGAGCGGAGAGAACTCTCTCGTTAATTAATGGTTCTCGCGCCAGAGGGGCAAACATTTTGCAAGACCAGACAACGACAAAAGGACTTGCATCGGTAATCTGATTTCCCGGAGATTTCCCTCCAATTCTACGGACGACTTTCCTGATCCGCGCATTCGAATGTTTGAAATTCTCAACCAAACATCCATCTCATCCAAACCGAATTTATTTATGAACGCTTGCATAATTCATTTTATTTGCCTCAAATCCGACGAGGCTTTGTTTACTTTCCCAAATGTGATAATTGGTAATAAGAAACCGCGTTGGAATTGTCGAATTCCCAGAACTTCTACTTTTAATCATGTACAACGTAGCACAATTAACGATCTTAATAGAACCAGCACGAAATGTACTTTTATTATAATTATTTTATAATAATTAACAAATTAACCAATATTAATATTATAATATACAATCAATTTCTTCAAAGCTTAATGAAAAATAAACTTTAATTAGATTTTAATTGCATATTTCCACGCATAATTAAAGACGGAATAAGATTTAATTCAGTTGGAAGAAAAGCCAAATTGGATTATTTTATGGACGCGATTAATATTTGCCACGTTTATTATTCAATAATGCAAATCCGGCGAGGCTTTGTTTACTTTCCCAAATGTGATAATTGTTAATAAGAAACCGCATTGAAATTGTAGAATTCCCAGAACTTTTACTTTTAATTATGTACAACGTGGCATAATTAACGATCTTAATAGAACCAGTACGAAATGTACTTTTATTATAATCACTTTATAATAATTAACAAATTAACCAATATTGATATTATATAATACAATCAATTTCTTCAAAGCTTAATGAAAAATAAACTTTAATTATGTTTTAATTGCATATTTCCTCGTATAATTAAAGACGGAATAAGATTTAAGGCAGTTGGAAGAAAAGCCAAATTGGATTATTTTATGGACGCGATTAATATTTGCCACGTTTATTATTCAATAATGCAAATCCGGTGAGGCTTTGTTTACTTTACCAAATGTGATAATTGGTAATAAGAAACCGCATTGAAATTGTCGAATTCCCAGAACTTTTACTTTTAATTATGTACAACGTGGCACAATTAATAATCTTAATAGAACCAGTACGAAATGTGCTTTTATTATAATCATTTTATAATAATTAACCAATATTAATATTATATTATACAATCAATTTCTTCAAAGCTTAATGAAAAATAAACTTTAATTGCATATTTCCTCGCATAATTAAAGACGGAATAAGATTTAAGGCAGTTGGAAGAAAAGCCAAATTGGATTATTTTATGGACGCGATTAATATTTGCCACGTTTATTATTCAATAATGTCTCTGGAACGATTTATAAACGTCCACCGCACGGACCATTATTTCACGTTCTCCTGTTTTATTTTTTGTACAGCTATTAGTACTTTTTGTTCCTTCCTTTCCCTTCTGTCTATATTTTTCCTATTTGCGACGGTGTCAAAGTGATAAATTACAGTTTGCCTTTTCATCTATTGCTAATAAGCGATTTTCCATTAAATTGATACTATTTTTTTATTGTTTCAGCAGTTTCCGGTCATCAAACCAAATTGTAATTAAATACCGATACGGAAAATTTTGTTTGAAACTCCAACTTTTAATTAACTGTCCTGAATGGTATTTTGTTCGACCGTATTTCATACAATGTAACTTTTGTTACATAAATAATATAATAGTATAATTAACTATTTAATCCAAAATGTAAATATTCATGTTTGACTGTCTGATCTGGTTATTCTGAAAATAAATAAAACGTGAAGATGGTTAAATTTGACAGCTTGTAACAGATCAACGGATGATAGTATAAACCTGTCTATAGATTCATTGGAAAGGCTACAATTTCTTCTTTAATTTAAGTTTTCGATGATTTAATTGGCTTGTTTTGTTATCCAGTAATTTATTAAAACATGAAGACATAATAGAATGGTAAAAAGTTGTAATTGATTGGTGGTGATAGTGAAAGTTACGTAATTTGATTATAACGTTCTGCTAGATAATATTTTTTGGGTTTAGCGATTTTTTTAAAATTGGATTGAATGAAATGAGGAAGAAAATACGAGGAGACGTGTATGTAAAATATTATTATATTTTTTGGCACGGTTGAAAAAGCGTGCGAAATCGTGGGGAAAGATATTGTTTGTGGGGGTTGGTAGTAAAGTGTGCTTCATATTTGATGAGTTTTGAATGGAACCAACCTTGAAAGCTTCCCGGAATTTATGCGACATGATGTGGTAGAGAAAGGGGTTCACCGATGTGGACATGTAGTATAAGATGCCGCTCACGTAGGTGAGGATCCGGAAGGCTGTGACCATGTTGTGGGACTCCCTGTGACCGTGGATGGCGAGCAACCTCTGGGCGTGGAACGGAGCCCAGCAGATGAAGAACGCCACGACGACGGCAACTGTAAAGAGAATTACTTAGAAATAGCAGCAAATACAAGAAATTATGGAAGCCGACGGATTAGGCTTTTGGCCAAAGTTGTTGGGAACGAATTTCGTATACTCTCTCTCTCTTCCGACGGGGGAATACTAATTTGCGGGGGCGACGGTTATTATGAATATGCACCGCCTCGTTCCGACGCTCGGATTAAGACGATCCAGACGAAAACATTTTAGTCATTGTTAAATCCGCGGATTTCGTGCTGCACTGGTAATTTCAATCCGGACCGAAACCGCACTCCGCCCAAATTGTTATACACGTAATCTTGAAACAATGCAACGACTCCGGGGATCGTCTTATACGTCTTACCATGACAAAAGTTTTCCCATTTCCAAACAATAATTATAACAATAAATCACCAAAAAATTATATAATTTTTCTATTCACATTTTCGTCCTGTATTTCAATTTATTAATTCAGTTTACTTTTCATTAAAAATCTGATATTTACACGAAAACTATGAAAGATTCAACGGATTATGCGATTTTCTAAATTTACTTTGGAGTTTCTGTTTTCCCATTTCCAAACGATAATTATAACAATAAATCGCCAAAAAATTATATCATTTGGTCATTTTTCTTTTCACATTTTCGTCCTATATTTCAATTTATTAATTCAGTATACTTTTCATTAAAAATCTGATATTTTCACGAAAATTATGAAAGATTATGCGATTTCCTAAATTTACTTTGGAGTTTCTATTTTCCCATTTACAAACGATAATTATAACAATAAATCGCCAAAAAATTATATCATTTTGGTAATATTTCTTTTCACATTGTCGTCCTGTATTTCAATTTATTAATTCAGTTTATTTTTCATTAAAAATCTGATATTTGCACGAAAACTATGAAAGATTCAACGGATTATGCGATTTTCTAAATTTCTTTGTAGTTTCTGTTAAAACACAATTTATCGTTCCGCAGGAATCGTAAGAACTTAATCAGCGATTGGGCATTTAGGATGAAGTTTATATAAGTGCGGCAGTTCATCAAGCCGGACGAGGGAAGTTTGGAAAAGCGAACGAATCGGGGAAATTGCTGCAAGAGAAAAACATATTATATGCCTTTTCCCAACACACGCTCCACTGCTTTTTTTATTATACTTTCTTTTCCTCCTCTGATCCATGCCTAAGCGTAATCGCCTCGACGTCCTTTCTCGCTGACTTAACAATAGGAAAATGTTTTCCATGTTCTGAAGGTTTTTACGATTTCCGACACCCATGCTGGACATTAGGGAAAAAAGCATTTTCCCATTTTCACCAGGTGTTGCATATTAGAAATCAATATATAAAATTCATTTGAAAATTTTCTTCTTACATTAAATATTTGAATAACTTAACTAATTCTAAATATCAAATTCCAGTAATTAATAAAGAGTTTATTAGTAAAAAGATAATAATTATCATCAAGTGGTTGAGTTATTTTGATGGTAATAAATTATGCAGCAGCGATTTGTTTGAAGACGTGCAGATTAATTCGATGGAAACTGGTAGTCGCCGTCATCCTCATCGCACTGTGATTAATTACGTGCTTAATCTGAAGAGTGACTGGAATACTTTAATTCGTTTCAGGACACTGAAACGACGTACAATTTGATGAACTAATGAAAAATGGAACAGTCGCATCAACTACAGAAACTCACGATTTCAGAGAAATAAAACACAGAAATTACACCAAACTCACAATAATTGATTGATAAATTTACATCTACGTATAAATTTTAGAAATTATTATTAATATTTTGATTTATAAACAAATTAATCAATACATTTTTAAATAACCAAAATATGATACATATATGTAAATCCGCGTATTTGCTGGATAAATCCAATAAAAGTTGATTAAAAATTAACAACTATTTGTTTTCTCCAATAAACAATAAAAAAAAAATCTGTTTTCAATTACAAAAAAGCTAATAAATTGGTAAATAATTCATCAGCTTTATCTTTACAGAATGAATTGGAAAATAACAAACAAATTGTTTTTCCATGTATTCGTTTTGTACGTTTTCGTAGTAATAGAAATATAATATATTAAATATATATTTATTCATGAAAATCTAGAGTGCGTGTAAAATTCGGTGAATGTGAACTCCAGAAAATTGCAAAAAAAATGTGGAAATTATAAACAATTATTCAACGCATTTCAGCGTTTATATGAATATATGACAATTTAATTACAGATTTTAATGGGAAAATCGCCATAATTAATCTTTAACATGCAAACAATTCCCTTTAATTATGTTCGATTCACACTGTTTTAATTTGTATTGAAACAACTGATTTAGAAAAAAAAATGGTAATAATTGTGGAAATTTACTTTATTTCATCAACTTTTTTTCTAATTCTGTACAGTCAGGGCATAAACGGAAAAGGTGAGAAGAGTATTTTTTTTTTTAGTTCAATTAAAACTGCAGACGCGCAGAACCAGTCCGAACTAATTAGTCGCGTCGCGTCGAGAGAGAGAGAAAAAAAACAGGAATCGAAACTTTTTAATGGCATCTCGTTCTGAGGTAATCCTGAGGCTCCATTTACGGCGTCGCGACGCCAATTTAAACGTTCTTTTGATGCTAATTAACGATTTAATCGCAATTAGAATAA